TGTAGACAGATTAGGATTTTTGAATAGAGTGATTGAAAAAATGTTTTCAAAACCTCTTTTCACCAGAACCAGTCTTCACGGTGTGCTGAATGCATACAGGGTCACTGTTGGGATTCTCTCCTATTCTGCAGTTTGCTCTTACCCCACTGTTCATGGGTGAAAGTAAGGAAGTGTTCTTTAGACAATTCAGGATTTTCTCACAGTTGCAGAAAGTATATTGCCTTGCGTAGAGAAATATTCTCTTTGTATTTTCTCTCGATATATTAATAAATCCATGAATTGTGGCAAATATTCCTTACAGCTTGTTGGGAGTTGTAGCTGTTTAGTACTTACATAGAAAAATTTTATAATTAGAAAATGCATTTTGTGGTTTAGGTAGATTTCATGAAAATAAGTCAGTTGAGAAACCAAAGCTCTTAATTATTTTCCCAGCAGTCATTCCTATCACCATTAAAATGTGCTTAATTTGTCCAATTAAAAAAAAAAAATCTGTGGAGCTCATCTCACCCTCCAGGTACAGCCCCAAGACTCGGTCTATTATACATTCAAATTTCTTGAAAAGGCAGCTGCTGTTCTCCATGCTCTAAAGGCCAACCCCACCCAATGGTATAAATCCTCTCATCCAAGTTACTAGTGGAACCAAAGTTAGGAAAGCTTTGGGCACATTTCAGTCTTTATAGTGATGAACTGCACAGCCGCTTTCAACATTTTTGAGCCCTTTCTATGTCTTGAAACCTTCTTTCTTGGCTTCCACAAAGTTCCATTCTCTTCTGTGTCTTTCTGCCTCTGTAAATGCTCCTTTATAGGTAAACAGAATGTATCTTGAGTTCATATTGAAACAATAAGAAGTATAAAGTTATATCTGTGATGAAGTACTTAAATAGTGGCATTATTTAAAAGAGCCCCACACTTCAACTATGAGAGCTTTGTCAGTCACCAACTAATTTTGTAACCTGAAATGAGTCTCTTCTCTCCTGAATTGAATTTCTTCTGAAAATGTAGAAGACTTAGTTGAATAATCTCCAAGTGTTGATAAAGATCTGCTGGAGTTGGTAAGGGAAAGAAAAGGCGTCTGACATTGTGTTCCTGTGCAAGGTTTTCGGGGACTTTGACAATGCCCCCTCCTGAGCAGGGATGAGGAAATTGGCTTTTACTGATAAGCTAAAAAAGGGCAGTGCCTTTTGTGACTCCAGCCCAACCTTTGGCACACTCACTCAAGAAAGATATAAATGAGAAGCTCAACGGAGCTCTCAGCCATGGCCTTTCTTGGCAAGATGAAGCCCAGCATCTTCTTTGTTCTTTCTCTGCTTCTCATTCTTGAGAAACAAGCAGCTGTGATTGGGCAACATGGTGAGTGGATAGTGTGGGCCTCAGAAAAATCTAGTCAGGAAGAATGGATTATAAGGGAATACTGGGGGCCAGTAGAAATCTGCATAGGTAGAGACTCTTCTCTCTCACGGGAATTGGATCTCCTGCACTGAAAGCCACATCCCTCTGGGAACGTCAAGATTTGATGGGGAAATGGTGGGGGTAGGGGCTGCAAGGGAATTTTGGAGATAATGGAACAAATACATTCTTATCAATTACCAGGTATATCACGAGAACAGTTACCAGATGAAATATATGAATTTCCATATTTACTGCACGGTGAACCACTCCACCCTGAAGAACAAAGCAGATGCAAGGATGGATCTGCCGGTAGTTATGTCCTATATGTAATTAGAATGCCAGGCCAATATTTGAGAAAAGATAAAGTCTTAGTCTATAGAGGACCACAAGTTTGGCCAAAATATGGTTCTCAAGGCCATTTTCCTATCCAAATGGTACAGCCAGTGTATGACAAAGATCAAAACCAGGTAAAAAAATCTTAATCCAGATGAACAGCATGTCCAAAATGCAAATAGAATGACGGGAATATGCAAGTAAAGATGAAACCTCACTCAATGATGAACAAGGTAGGCCACAAGATGAGTCCTGAGATTTTTTTCTTTTCAAAACTTTAGAATTTGTATATGACAAAAAAATCAAAATTCTAATCAAGAAGAAGAGAATGGCATTGGTTTTTTAAAAAAATTTTATTGAATCAAAATTGATTATACATATTTTGGGAGTTGAACATTGAGATATATTGA